TACTTTTAGCAGCGGCAAGCCTGCGCTGCGAGGACCTGCAAGGAGGAGAGGAGGATGGCAGCAAAAAGGAAGAACCTGGATATAAGAAAGTATTAAAAACATTATGTAATTATTACTAAATGTTGTTAAGTCCTTAAAGTCATATTCTTTTATTGTTATAACTGTATTTGAAGCTATTTTTATTTTTGTATGAAACCTGATTTATATGGAATATGGCTGAAGTAAACTAAAGCCAAAAAAACTTTAGTCAGTCATTTGTTTAATATTAATTTAACATTATATAATTCACATTTAAAACTATGACTTGTAATTTTAAATGGTTTAAAAGCATGTAGAATAGCATATGTAGGCAAGTAAATTTCTCCTTTTTTTATCAAGAAGCAAAGACATAAAGGAAAAAAAAAAGAAACAGGGCAGGGTTCGGCAGTTGAATCATCCGTCCCCACCAATGCCAAAACCAAATCTACACCCTTGGCAGCATCATAAAATTTGCAGGGAATTACTTATAGATAGATTTTAAAACTATCTGCAAATTTTAAGCATAATCTTTCCAAGAGGAAAGGATTAGTACTATGGCCACATTTTTTAACTATTATTTTTATTTACTTTATTTCATGTTATCTAGTTTATTAGGCTTAAGTTAGTTTACAATATCTTATCAGTACACATTCAACAATTTTTATTTGTGCTGGGTGTGCTAAAGAATGTGGACACATTCACAAAACTAAGGTTCAAAATATAATCTCTGTATTGTGTTAAAACACAGTCATTATTATTTCATTTGATCCGTTTGGTTTTTTGTTTTTTTCAGTTGACTAAAACGTTACCTGAAACGCAAGTCTGTGTAAGAAATTAAAAACAAGAGATAAAATCTACTTACCTTGGCATCAGTCCTGTTCCTTTACAGGTGAAGGGGGAAAACATACCACACCTATCAAATTCCATCATGTCTTTTATTTGAGCTCTTAGTGAATTAAACTGACCAGACACCTGCTTTTGTGTTTACTCTGTTTCCATGGGCACCCACAAAAGCTCACAGGCCCACCTCGATGCGGGTGAAACTATCAAAGTTTGCCACACCCATACAAACTTATCTTGTCAGTGTTTACACAAGTCTTTGTCATGTTCAAATAGCCCTCCCTATCACTGTCTCTCTCTGTCTCATACACACACACATCCACACACATAAAATCAGAGTAAATGTTTACCTAGAGTTGGGTACATGTCCAAGTTGGAGGAGCCTTGCCTTGCCTTTTCTCACTTGTGACGCAACACTGCAGGCATAGAGTGAAGCCTTGTTTTATAACTGAAACTGGAAGCTCGTATATCTCAGGAGGTGATTCAGCATCTTTATCTCTGAGTTAAAGTGCAAACAAATATGCTTTGACGCAATGGCCCAAAGATAAGATGACTAAAGTCCGTTTTAAAACCTGTGCCCTCCTACAAAGATGTAAAGGATGTTCTGTTGCTTTGATTTTTTTCTTAAATCAGACATTGGATCTGTACGTGATGTGAAGGTTTGATTTTTCAGATCGTGAAACATATTGCAAAACAAACTGAAGCGTACTAACTTTGCGTTATATAAAGGTTGCATGAAATTTAGTGCAGTATAAACAGGTTATTTTTCCATATTTTGGTAAATTTACCAGTAATGTAGTGGTGCACAGTGGCTTTGATGTTCTTGATTCTCTGTATTTGTATCAACTCATGTTCTACATAACAGGGTAAATAAACTAGAATTAAAAATTACTCAAATATAACTTTAAAATTATTTATATGATGTTATTATTTTAATATAGCATGTTTTTCAGTTCACTTTGCCAAAAATAGCTGATAGAAACATCCTCAAAAAAAGCTACGTTTCACTTTCTTGCTTTAAGTACATTTTCAGAGGCTTTACTTTTTCACTCTTACATGAGTAAATAAGTTGAATCGGTATTTTATCTTTTACCAGAGTATTTTAACACAAATCTGTAATTCTACTTAGGTACAGAATACCTGTACTTTTGCCACCTGTATATAAGTGTAACACAATGTAACACTGAAGCTGCTGACAAGTACCAGAATTAAGTAACAGTAAAAAGTTATTTAAAGTCCGTCTATAATATGGCATAAAAAAGCTACAAATTTTGCCAAAGAAAAAATGTTCTAACACAAAATGTAAACTAACTTTGTTATAATCGCATGTTCTTGTGTGTTTCCATCTGTAAAACTAATTATAATGAGAAAGCAACACATTAGAATGCAAACGTCAGACATACTAAACTCACTGTCTATATTATAGTCTATATCAGAGGTTCCCAAAGTGTGGGGCCCACCCCCAAGGGGGCGCAGAGCCATTGTATGAGAAAAAGAAAAAAAAAAAAAGAATGCTTGGACACTGCTAGCATAATGGACAGGTTTTGACGGGGCTCCCACACAAACGCAAAGCAGGAGATGAAGCATCGCCAAATATGTTTCTAAGCCAACTTCCTTCCAAGCCAAAGACTAGAAAATATGGTGAAGCATATCTTCAAAAATACCCGTGTAGGTGTGGACATAGTGTAAAAGAGTTAGTAGTGTATTTTATTACTACCTGTAATTTATTGCAGTTTACTTTTATTTGTGTTTACTGAATGTTTGAGGTGTGAAATTAACCGCAATGGAGTTTTAAAACAAAATATGGGTGTCTGTGGTTGGAGGATGTGTTTGTGTTTGTGTGGGGGGTGTTAGGTGGTGGTGGTGGGGGCGCAAAGATTTTTCTTGTAAAACAAAGTTTGGGAACCACTGGTCTATATGATATTTGCTTACTGATCATTAATTTCACACAAGCGCAGTAAGAATTTTGCAGATGGAAAATTGAGCTCAAATGGCAAAGTTCCAAAGATGGATGTGGTCTGACCAACAAGTATGGAGCAAAGGATTACCAGAGTAGGTCAGCCAATAGGACACTGGCCTCTGTACACACCAGTTCCTCATTCAGTTTAAGTTGTGATATTTTTATGACTCCCTTCATCAAGGTTTATTATCTGGTGCATAAATAAGTTATATGCAGCTTAAAAAAATAGCGCTTTTTGATCAAAGTATAGTATTAAGTCATTCAAACTTCTGGGATATTGATGTGATCAGTTAACAACAGGTGAACTAGAGGGGCAACAATGAGACAATGCCAAGACAGGAGTAGTTTTACAGGTGGAGGCCACTGACATTTTTCCCTCTTCCTCTTTTCTCACTGTTTTTGGCTACGATCAGTGTCACTACTGGTAGAGTGAGGCAATACCTGGACCCTACAGATGTTGCACAGGTAGTCCAGCTCCTCCAGGATGGCATATTGATACATGCCAATGGCCACTGTTAAGAATTTCTCTGACCAAATAACCAGAAAACAGACTTCATGAAGGTGGCCAATGTCTTCTACAGGGCCCTGTAGCCACTGACACTCAAGGTGGAGCCCAGTTGGAATTCCTTTAATGTTTTTGAGCAGTATTTACCTGCCATGATGGCCCTGTTATCTTTCTCATTTTGTCGGCCTTTGTGTGTATTTATGTCATCACAGAAAAATGCCATCCTGCAGGAGACACCTACTGTAGTGGTAACTCCCACAAAAAGGGCTTTGCATACTGAGGTTGTATAATGTATAATCATTTTCATACATGCTGTATGGCCAAGAACATTTTTAGACATTACCCAACAGAGCTGAATGTGACAACATAAATCTTCCACTCAATGCACAGTCTTTACCCTGCACTGTCTCAACCCTGACAGCCACCCAGGGCTAGGTCTGTGATTACATCAGCTCTGTCAGTCTGTGGGCAGATTTTGTCAACAAAGTTCCACAAAAACTACAAAATCTAGTTCTAAAACTTTACAGGTATGTAGTTTTAATCTAAACAAAGGCCATATTTTAAGACAGGGGAAAACCTAATGGGGCTGCAGATATTGTGATCTCAAAAAGCAATGCCACAAATAGTTTTTATCTAACAACTCAAGTGAGGCAAGATTCATACGTTCAAACTCAACACACTCTCACAGCAACTTGTCACATACTAATGTGTCTAATATTTTTCTCTTTTGTACTTCGTCTTACTATAATTTGTAACTTTTTTTGTTTGGTTTAGGTTTAGATAAAAACTCTCACGACATTGAACCTTTGCCTGAGATTTCATTGTCTAATTTAGATGGCGAGTGATCAGACTCGCTTGCTTCTGGAAAAATGATATGTAACCACTGTAACCTGGTGTCACTATAGTGATGAGATTGAATTGAAAATGTCATCATTACTAACACTCTCTCTTTTTTTTAAAAGCTGAGTATAAAGCATGAACTCCAGCGACTTTCTGCTTATCGAGATAAGTTTGTGTAACATTTGTCCTTTTGACATGAATGCATTGTGACTGCAGCCAAATCTGCCTGTGAAACAGTTGGTCTTTCTTTACGCAATGTGCTTTAGTCTTCTTTGTCCTGAACCATATAATTATGGGGTTTTTTTGTTTTTTTTTTCCCTACATTTGTGTTGTGAGAGACTTTTAAATTACCCAAGCACTCTAAAAATAGCTCAGACTAGACGCACCCCTGTTTCTTTTTATCAGTTAGACAGTGCACGAGCACGTTCAACATTCATTCAAAAGTTCTCTCACAGTTGTAAATTTTGCAAAGGAAATGCTTCATATGCTTGTAGGTGTAGTGAAATAAGGTTATATTTGATATGTTTCGTTTTATATATTAAAAATATGTTGGTCTTACAAGATTTACCGCTGAAATGGTAAATCTGAGCTTGTAGCACAAACACATACCAAAGGCAACTCTTCAGTCTCTCCTACTTTTGTATTGCCCTCATGTGTGTCTGATTACCTTGATGATGTCAGTTTTTGGAAAAGTACTTTCATGCTTATTCTTATCTACTTTGTCCACAAGACTCCCTTGTTCATGTAAACAAGCTGCTGAGACTCTGGATGCTTGCAGAGGTAGGAATGTAAATATAAATCTAAGGCAGAAATGAGCGAACAAATATCATTTTCACATAACACTGAGACATTTTATTGGTGATCATATTCCATCCCTTTTCCAGAGTGAAATGAAGAGTGTTTTCTGACCTATAACAAAAGCAGTACAATAAATAAAAACAAAACTAGAGAACATCAAAAGGCTGCATCCTCAGCATTCACAGATAAAAGATATTATAATAGTAGTCCAACATACAGATACGTGTATATAGTTGTTAACAATAAATAATCATACTAAATAAATTACATTCTAATAAATTCTGGACAGTGTTTTTACACAGCATCTATTGAAGCCATCTATTCACTCGTCTCTCGGGTGGTCAGAGCCAGGTTCTTTGAACTGTTTAGCATTGCTGTGGAAAGACAAAAATGCAAGGTCAAAAAATACATAAATTAATGTTTTAGTAGAAATCTATGCAATAGTTTCATTTTGAAACTTACATACAATCCTTTTTTAGCTATGTAAAGCAAAACTCTACAATTCTGATATTGCACTTTGTGGTGATTTTGCTATGACTGAGTAATATAACGGTGCAGATATGTTTTATTTTAATTTCTGTAGATTTCTATGTCATTTGGGGTTTTAAAGACAAATAAAGAGTAATAAAAATATTTTTTTTAACCGCAAATAAACAGGGTTAAATAATCTGGACAGATTACTGTCCCTTTTAATTACTTTCCCTCATTCTAGTCACTCATTTTTGTCATCATTCATTCATGCTTCATTGTGGCAGTGTAACAGAAATCCCGTATTTCAGCAATTCCTAAATTGCCACAATAAAAAGCTTATGAAGAGAATACGGCATGTCCACACTGTGTATATCTTGAAACTAAAGTGTTTTGTTTCCAAACATGTAAAGTCATCATGCATGTTTGCATGTGCTGCTCAGTAAGATTTAATGAGTAAATTATCTCTTTATAGGTCATCACGTGCAAAGTCAGTATGTCAATACTCTTATTGTTCAGGACACAAAGATGAATGTGTACAAATGAACGTGTGGTTTCTCTTTACGCTGCTATTCACTTCATTGATGGAACAAGTGGAGACACCCCTCACTAATCCCGACTAATGCCTCTAGTAGGGATCTCTCTTGATCTGCATGATGCATGTATTCAACAACAACAACAGTCGTACGTGCGCTCCTGTCATTCAGTGAGCCCACTCCTTCCTGTTTGGCTTAGACTCATGTGATCAGTGGCTAGACACACTCCTCTAAGGAGTTAAGCAAGACCATAGGTGAAAAATACATCACGAAACCATACAGCGCCAGAAATACGAGAAGATTATATCAATGTTGCTGCACTGATGGCATTACTGCAACAGCACTGACACATTATCCAGCTTGGTAAAGGTCGTAGTTGTCATTTTCATGGTATGTATTGTTTTATATCTTTATTCTTATTTTTTATGGGTTATTCGAGGTCAGGGTTGGGTGACTCAAAACACTCATGTAAGGTGATGACTAAACGATATGTTTACAAACTCCATCTGAAATAAAACGTTTCCATGATCTTGCTGGTCTGAACACAGTGCAGTACTTGGAAGTAGCACTGCTTTTTCTGATAATTTGATGCTTTATATTGTGCAATAAACACTGAGTTGTATAAAAAATAAGTACAGTGAGTACGTGTTGGTTTGCACATAAGGAGGTCAAAACCTCAGGAGCACCTACCTCATTGTAACTTAACGCCCTCAAACGACAACGTCGCCAGGGTGTTTCTGAAGCTTCTCCTGCTCTGACACGGTTCCAAGGTAGGAAGCCAGGAAGTTTTTATGTGACCTGTAACTACACAAGACATTAACATTAGTATCAAAAGCCCAAACAGCTCAGATAAGTGAAAGAATCAGCTATTTTGAAAACCAGGACTGCAGTGCCAGCTACATGGTAATGGTCTGATAGAGATAAATACATTTTATGGTGACATTTTCACTGTCATTTCTATTGGCTGTGCACATAAAAAGCATATGACTATTTAAGTTTCAGACTCACAGAAATAAGTCCTACTTTCTCTCGTTTTCTCCAACTGAGTAGTTATAACTAACCGTGGCTGTAAAGCTTTAATTGCATGTCTGCTTGTTTTATTTGCACCATCATGGACTATTGACTCTGTCCACAATTCAAATAATACCTTTGATTTCATTACATATTGATAAGAAACTGTGATTATGTAATAAATTGCTTGTCATAGGAATTCAAGATTCAAAAAAAGTACGAGTAATACAAAAGACCTTACAGCCTTTCTGATAAAACAACAGTGAGGTGACGCCGTTGATGGTGCTGTAGGAACAGGAATGACCATTAGAGCTGTAGAAGTCATTTGAGTTGATCTTGGCAAAGTGGTGAGCAATAACTCTAAAGTCTGGGTGTGTTCGGGTGTGTTAATGTACTTTTTGATGTGTCAGTGTGGTCATATGCCAGGAAGTGTTTCTGGCCTGGATCTTGGAAGCGTAACCTTTGTTCTGTTGGGATTCATGGGGTGTGGATGGTTTATTGGATAATATTCTCTACAATACTTTAAATGTAAAAAAGAAGAAGATTACTTTTTCACAAAATCACCACAATCAGGCTTTGTCTTAATGTTGTTCCAGCTTTGGTGAAGCTGGTCACACTGATAGCAGCTATACTGGGGTCTGATAGTGGTGAGTTTGTGGGGACATTACATTTTGTTTTTTCTGCACCTCATTCTCCTCAGTGAACAATGGCGGGTTTATTGCTGTAAAAAAAATCCCACTATGAGGATTTTCTTTCAAGTTGTAAAGTTGTATTTTGACTGCTTTTACAACTGGGAACAAAAGAAAGATTTAAGTTTACTATTAAGAGTTCATCAGTGAATTGAAGATAGGTTACTCATACTAATACAATACAATACTCGGTTAACCCAGACCTATCTATATCTAGGAAAAGACAAAAGTTAAATGAGGGCTAAATTTTAAATTTTGGCATCATTAATTAAGGCCAAATTAGAGGCTTTTCTTTTCTTTTAAAATGTTGTTATATATAACATATGTAACAACTGGCATATTCTGATATACGTATTATGTTACCACTAATTTTTTCATGTTTGGAATTTTATCCATTTACTTTAAAATCCTTCAGCCAGAAACGAATGCTTTGGTTGCTACAGCCTTACCACCAAATAGTGTGTCTTGTTGTGTTTCTTTTTGTGTGTTTGGCTGTGTGACAGTTTCAAACTCACTGAGCACAGGTCATAAGCAGTATGGCGGTACAACTGATGACTGAAAGAACCACGGCGATGACCACTAAGACCGTCTGCACCAGCTCAGCATTGTTGGTCTCGGTGGGCTCATTTTTCACTGTCCCCAGAGTCTGGATCCCACAGCGCTCTCCATCATAACCCTTCATACATCTGCAGAAAAAAGAGTTAAGAAATCAGTGTGATGACTCAATGAAGAGGCTTTTATATCAGATATTGATGAGTGTTTGAATGATTTTTTCAAGTTGTTCCAATAACTTGAATCTGTCTGAACCTGCCTATTAGTCACATTCAGGTGAGGCAGTGGTTTTAACAGTATAATTGTTTTGGGGGTTTTGTGTCGACATCATTCATTTTGATGATTGCAAATGATCCCAAACATGATTCAGTGAAGGCCACATGCTTGTATCAACCATAGAGCTCATATTCTCTCATGCAAAAATACAATGGGGCCAGGACTGTACTTACATACAAACTGGTTCATGCAGGCCGTCTATGTGCTTGCAGTATCCATGAATGCAGTAGCCCAGGTGGGAGGTGTTGCAGGGATCCTCATTGGTCCTGAGAGTGGATGTGTGTCCACTAGTGAAGACCATGTGCTCGGGGTTGAAAGGAGTTGTGCTTTTGCCCTTGTGTTTGTTCCTCCTCTTGCCTTTGACCTTCCTTTTCTTCTTCTCATCTCTGTTGGGATGCAAGTCTGTAGGAGGAAAGGAAGCATCCGCAGTTGTTTAGGGTGCCATTTTAACTCCCTAGACTTAAAGGCTGAAAACATTTTTTTTAATCAATTGAAGCTGTTAAAGTCAAGAGAACTTCACTTTCATACAATTTTATATACTCATCTTTCTTAAAAGAAACATATACAAATCACACAGTTATATACTCAGATAAAAGATTCCCTTGTACCATGGAAGCTGACATTTTCATCATCTCCTCCTGAAATCCCGTCCTCTTCCAACTCATCATCATCGCTGTGCAAATTCTGGAGGCCTTCCCCTGAGGCCAGGTCGACAGTCACTCCAACTTGGTCACCTGACTGTGTGGTTGTAGATCCCTGAGCACTTAGAGCACTGCAGACTACAAAAAAAAGCCAACAAAAATGAATAAGACATTAAATCTACATAGAAATACACAATTAAATCAAAGTTTACTTCTTTTGATCCAGATCAACATCTTGGATTGTGAAAAACACTCTTTCAGAGCTATAAATAGAAAAAAGACGTGAATAGTTGCCGATCTGCTGATAAACTATTTTAGAAATCAGTCTTGGCAGTCATTTTTTTTCATTCTTTCCTTTTTTTTTCTTACCATGAACTTTGTGTGAGTTACTTTCTTTAGAAATTGTGCTCATATAGCTTTACCTCTGACTCATTATTTCACCTTCCTCTGCTGGGAACAATCTTAAACCAGTACAACCAGTCCACATTGAGGACTGTATTGCACCAGTGATGAATAGGATTCAGTGAAAGGATAATGAAGTATTCAAAATATGATGACCTTTCTGTGTGTCTGGTGTGTCTCCTGCACAATGTCTGGTAATAGTTTGGTCTCTAGAAGCGTCTCTGACAAAAAAAAATAAAAAATCTCAAATACCTCTCTCCTCTCTGACAAGTCCTCGCCTGTGGATACAAGTTTTCTCCCCTGACCCATGCCTTTCTGTCATGCCACTTGCATTTCTCTTTTCATTTCAGTCATTTAAACTATCTGCGCACACACAAACACACAGACACTTTTAAGTACAAGTTCAGACTTACCGAAGCACAGGAAACAGGTGAGGATGAGAGGGTTCATATCCCAGGAAGCAAGTGTTTTGTGTATGATAGTCCTGCACTAACGTGTGTGTAAGTAGGTGTTGAAGTGTGTCTTTGTCCCCCGCTGATCGAGAGTGTGCTTTGCTCTCTTCACCTCCACTGGGTGCAGCTTTTATAGACCAACGCCTGCTTCTCAACTTGAAGGAAACAGATGGGTGTGTGTGTGTGCACTTGTGAGTGTGTGTGCATGAGGCAAAGAGAGAGCAAAGAGAGAGCACAGGAGAGAGAGTAAAAAACGCATTGTGCTTGTGTGTGTGTGTGACTTATTCGTGTGTGTCTACTAATTCATCTGCCCCAGGCAATACATTTTGCACCTCACGTTCTGGTGGGAATAATAATTGTGGGCGACACTGGGTCACCAAGCTCTTGGCTTTTTATCACCTGTTTGGTAACTTTTATTACTTCCGCAGGGCTGCCTTTATATGGCCTTAGTTATACCTTCTGTAGTGATAGAGACACATACCAGGATATTATAAAACTTTTCAACATTAACTTGAAAACAACTTTCTAGGCCATCATGTGTCATTTATTGAATGGCCAAAGTGTTGACTAATCTTAGATAGACAAAATCTTAAGCAAACCACAAAAGTAAAGTTACTGGGTTCTTAATTGACAGCAACTATACACACCTTTTTCTGTAATCGAGTCATAGCTACACTTTAGTCAAGGTACAAAGATAAAAAATAACATTAAAAAAATGCTACATTACAGTGAGAGCAGTAAGGGGTCATAAAAAGAGTATCTATGAGTGTTTGTTTCGGTAAGTGGTTTCATAAACATATACGGGCAAATAGGTCATGAAATGGGAATTGTGGCTGGCTTCTAGAAAATACACCTCTGAATGTGTCTTATTTTCTGAGATATAAGATACTTTTTTAATATTATCTTTTTAAGTGTGTATTGCTTGTTACCTGTTTTTATTTATTTGCCTATGACAATGAGCGCGCTCTGTTTTATTGTTGTTTCGTTTTGTTCGGCGGGTTGTGGTTCTGTCTGAATTATTATGTGTGTGTTTTATCAAATTATACTCAGTGTTACTATTTCTGTACACTGTAACTAAGAGGAGACCTTAAGGCTTGGGTGGGGAAGCTGCACACAAGGGTGTGTTGTTTATGTTGTTGTGTCTGCAGATACAGGTTGTCCCATCAGTCATACACTAGTGGAATCAAACACAAACCTGCTAGGAATGCAGGGAACTACTCCATCTCATTCCGTAACAATGACTTGGAGCTCCTGGCACGTTTTGTTGAGGATAAACATGCAATGGAATTGTTTGGATATGTGTAATGACATTGAGGATATGAGATATGGATGTGTGGAAAGTCTGACACAAGCCAGGAGAGAAGCACCTCATAACAGCCACCCACAGTAAACACACTGCTGTCAAGCTAAAGGCACACAGGATGAAAACTTGAACACAAAAATACAATTAGATGTCTTTGTGCATCTTCACAACACTGTTACAATGTTACTAGCTGCCGATATTGAATCTCTACTTTTCCGTTAAAAGCATAATTTCCCATGTGAAGTATTAGCTTAAAGTTTTTTAATGTATATGTACACTGTTGTCTACATGGTGCCTTTTGTAGCTGATTCAGTTCTCAGTTTATTTAGATCGGCTTCTTAAATTTATTGCCTTGAAGATGAATTCTTGCAACTTTACCAACTAGTATTAATGGCACAAAAGCAACTCCAGCATCTTCCTGAAAACTATCAATTTCACCTTAATTATGTCTCTCCGCTGAGTGCCCTTAAATGATGTATGTGGACTTTCAATCTGGAGCCTTAATAGTCTGTATTTCCATCTAGAAAGCGACTCTTTGAGAATAAATGACAGCGAATAATACAAATATAACAGAAACTAAAACACAAACCTGACTTGAGAAGCAAAACAAACGCATACGTGATAGACATGAGACTTGTTTGTTAAAGAACACACGAAGATGCAGCTTAGTGGGGCTTCCCCCACTGTATTACTCACTGCATGAGTAGCCTACTATTACTTATGCAATAATAAGTAATAGCACAGTGCAGGGATTAGAGCAGCAGTTCCTGAATTTCGAATATCTTTATCCACGGGTTTTATGTTTAGAACAAAATGGCCACCACAGAGTGGATGTGTTTGTGGGTCATCGCGTGTGTAAGCGCATGCTAATGTGTTTTTAAGTATGTCTTAACAGAGGAGCAGCTGCAGGTGAGTTAATGTTTACGTGTCATCGTCGCTGTTCATTGGTATACAGAACATGTAAAGCGGATCCAGGCGAGGTGTTAAAATGGATCATTGGCTCTGGTTGAGTGTAAAATGAAGCTACTGATTAACTTGACATCTGACACTGCACTCGGTAGGTCAGATAATGACCACAGACATGCATATTTATTTGGGTTTAATAGGGATGGTTTGGATGCACACAGTACACATAACTTGTAGTCATTTGTCAGTCTTTTATTAGACTCAAATGAAGAACAACTCAAAGGAAAGCTTTTTGGAGATGGCGTTCTCAGAGTTTTATCAGAAGAACCAAGGCTCTTACCACCTGGTTTCCATTTGCAAAGCATTTCTGTGGCAAACCCGCAGAAGGAAGCAGCAGTGCAAAAGCCAGCATCACCATCAGCACAGCAATGTTTCCCCTGGTACAAGTCCAGATAACACTGCCCAAGAAAGATTATTTTGCAAACTGTACAGCAAGAAGTATTCTTACATGTGTATAAAATGTAAAGGACAAAAAAATTGGAAAAAAAAAAGTTAAATAAATTTTTAAAAAAAACAATACATATCAATATATATATATATTAAAGAGAGATATTGATGACATGTAAGAAAAATGTGAAGACTGCAGGAAGGCTTGAGAAGAATTTGAAGCCTCACCGCTGCAGCCTTATCACCTGAAGAATGAGTGAGGACATTGAAAGATACAAGAATATAAAAAAAAACAAGTAAAAGTAAAAAAAATAAATACTTTGTAGCTTCAAACACAGACAGAGGTTGTAGAGTATATAAACATTGCCAACTGAACTTATAAGAATGAGGAAACCTCCACACTACACAAAGTTTCAAGCGTTAAAGCTCAAAACTTTACACTCATTGGCCAATTTAAAGTGACATCATCATAATAGTAACAGTGGCCATTTTGATTTTGTGCAAGACAAAAAAATGATATCTAATAAAAGCTAAAAGCTAGGCACAAGCATAAATTAAAGGCAAAGTTCAAACCACAGTGTAAACAGTCCTAATCTGTTTTTTAGGATGTTAAGTCAGAGTAGACAGGACTGGAAGACAAACAAAACATCTTTAACCAGTTCTATTTTAGGATCTGAGAGTGGGTTGATTCAAAAGATAACGCAGCCTCACTGAACCACAGAAAAGCCTTTCATATTCTAAAATTAGACTTGCATTCTAGCAAAAAACAGAAATCCCAAAGTGAGGAAACTACATTATTATATTGATTATGATCAATTCTGCTAGTTATCAGCAAATTCGGAGCAACATTTTTTTTTTTGTTGCGTTACAAGTTACTATAGTTACCGCTTCACAATTGTTTATTTTCCATTAATTTTTCAGTATCGTGTGGGCGGAGTCACCCACAGAAACTGTTTTTGTGTGCCTAACTATTCATCTTTTCAAACTGAGTGTAACAGGTGCCGCAACTTTAGAACCAGTGCAGCTGGAAAACAATCCCACCGCACACAAAGCTGACCATTATAACCTCTTTGTGGTGATCTGCCTGCTTGATAAAGCCACGTGACGTACAGTGTAAAGGAGGCAGGAACAATTTACTAAGCTAGCCACTGAACTGCCAGGATGTTCTTCTTGATATGTTGAAATTTTCATTTAGAAAAATGGGAGAAATCTTGATTTGTCTTTTCCAGCAGTGGATGTTGCAAGAGAGCGTGAAATGCTCTAAGCCATCTCGACTCCTTTGTAACCCTGCAGCTTCAGCTGACGTCGAAAATTATTCTTCTCATACCTACAAAAATAACACATATTGATTTTATTTCAAAATACACAAATCCTGTCTCGGTGATGTAGCATTTCACCATTTCATGCTTTAATATAACCAACAATGAAGGTTGAGGAACTTGAAATGGGATTTCGGTCATAGCCGTTCTTTGTGGTTTGGTGCGTGTGCATGGAGCAGGATGCTGAGGGCAAGATTTTATTTCATGAACTTCAATATTTAAAGTAAAATGTAGATCTGTAGGTTTAGCTGTAGTGTCACGAATACCCTCAGAGTTTTAGTGGTAGACTTTTAGCAGCTTAATGTGCAGCCTACTTTTGACATATTCCATGGAGACATAATGTTATTATTTTCTTTTTCATATGTACTGCTGCAACAGTCAAAACTCATATTCAACATGGCTTCAAATGAGGTCAGCTTATGTTAAAATAATCCACATGAGCCAAAAGTCTGTTTCTTTTCTGCTCTGGGCTCCTCTTTGTTCTCAGCGTTCAGTTTTTGTAAGAAATCTCATTGCTTTAGTTTGAGGCCTACTAAGTAACCACACGTATAGTCACATACATTCACATACCAAAGCCTTACCATCTGCAGAAAAGGTACAGAGCTCCAGCCAATCCAATAATCAGCAGAATCATGAAGAAAATGATGATAATTATTTGCTTTTCACCTTCTGGCCCCAAAACAAGTTCCAGTTTCTTACACCTGGAACCAATGAAGCCTGTCTCACACCTGCAACACAAACAGACGAGTCATGCATAACTACTCATGATGACAAAGTAGCACAGATTCACTTACCCACCCACATAGCCACATGTGACTGCCCTCTGCCATGGCCTGCTGCTTTTTCTGTTTGTCCCTGTGTGTGTGCAGGTTCCTGGTAGGTGGGGTTAATCCGTGTAACTGAGAGCACCTGGTCAGTCTCCCTGGAGCATTTAAGAACTGGCTGTCTCAGCGCTTGGGCTCTCTTTCTTATCGCTCCATTTATCCAGCACTATGTTATTTGTTTGTTTGGCTTTGGCCTGGTTCTTTTAGGTTTTACACCACATGACAGTATGCATCCTGAACATTCAATCACCCATCCAACTACTGATATGCTGACTGATAGCAATGATTGACACATCTCATGGAGTACTATCTTTTTTTAGTGTGTAAATTTTGGTTTGAGT